TCCAACAACGAAAACAAAGAAGTAATAAAAACTAGCATCGTAAATAGTGACAAAGAAGAATCTGATGCTATCAATGAAGAAAAGGAGACCAAAGAAGATGATCAACCAATATAGAAACCTGACACCTAATTCGCATCAAAGTTCAATTTTACAACACCAAAGTTAATTTTTACAACGTCAAAGTTCATCTTGACAAAGTCAATATTTCCCTATATATACAGCAAGGAGCACTGATGATGATTCATTCGGAATCGAAATATGGCCTTATTTGCAGCATGAATTCGAAAAATAAGTTTATTTTGAATTTTAATAAACTAAACGTTCACCAAAAAACTTTAGCGAAAAAACGAACTACAAACATATTAACCCCAAACATTCGGTAGAATTTATAGAATATTGTAAAAATTATGGTCTATTACCAACATTTATATATATATATATATATATATATATATATATATATGTGCAGTTGCTAATGGTCGCTATTGTTATTGTTTAGTAAATTGCATAAATATTCAAAGAAATTTTAAATAAGTCTCCCAGAATTTAAAAAAAAACCGAAATAAAAATTGTTCAAAAAACCCATTGAAATTAAATCAATTTTCTTTTCATTTTTGAATTTCTTATCCGAACAGACTGGGTGAAATGAATGTTAGAGATAGGAACAAATTAGATATCAGCTTTAAATAAATGAAGTGTTTATGAAATTTTCAAGAGCATTGAATGAATGAATGTCTTGCATCGCCTCTCTATCTGCATGTTTAAATGTTTCTGAATGCTACTTCAAGTAACTTCACCTATTTATATATTGCTTTATTACTGCTTGTTTCTTCAAATGCTCTCAATACTCTTCATATACTTCATACTTCATACTTCATTACTTGCTTTGAGTTTCCTGTTTCAAACGAAGAAATGTTCTTTTTGAAAAATTTGTAAAGGTCTTTCCGCTATTTTTTAAAACATGTCTCTATTTTTTGTAGTACTTATTGTTCTATTATTATTATCTAAAACATTCTAAACCTGTTAGAATATTTTAGTCATAAAAATGTAAACATTCTTAGCTAGTTGATACACAATATGGATATTCATACTCTACCCACTCATTAAATGAAACACACACATACACAACACACACAGAGTACGTCAATACATACATAGATGCATTCATACATCCATATATGCATACAAACAAACATATATAAATACATACATACAAACAAACATACGTACATACATGCATGCATACACATAGATAGGCAGATGTTGTGGGCCTCCTGCAACTCCCAATGTGTCAGTCCCTAATTGTCTATATCCACTTTTTATTGGACCGTTTGTACTTTTTTGTGTTCTTTTTATGTTTATTTCATGACTTTTATGCAGCTGTTAACTTTGAAGTACATTTTCTTTTCATTAAATAATGGAATGTGATTGCTCTGAGTTTATATTTAATGGCTGACTCAATTTGAAAGCGAACGAACAACTTTGCCAAGATAACTTTCGTCATTAAATTTTTATTTTTTTTTAAATGTTGTAAAATTTCTTAATTAAACAAAATGTAAAATCTAATTGATTCATTAATTTGCGTTTTTAAAAGTGCTCTTGAAAAAGAGAAGAGAGGTGAATGGTATAAAATGGAAATGGCAATTATAATGTGCACCTATAAATATTCCAACTAATGTTTATATGCCATTCCCTCCTGTGTAAACTAAGATTCCAGTCTATAATCATGATTCAATTGCAAGATAAAGCTCAATTAATGTCCTTTAATGTGTGTGTATTGTAGAAGTTTTCATTTCACCTACATACATGTACTTGCACATACAATGCAGTTATCGTTTTGGTTGTGTGTGTGTGTGTATCTGTGTGTGTGTATCCAATTTCATATGAATCCAATTTACTACTATTCTTTATTAGTTTACACAAACATTTATCTTGATCACGTCTTCTTCTTTCTTCTTTTCAATTATGCCTCACAAACAAGGGACAGGCAACATAATTTAAGTGCCTACATAAATAGTTATCACAAGATGACAGTTGAGCATATGTGGCTTACTTGTATGTATGTCTACTGAATGGCGTTATAATAACTCTTTTATTAGCTGCAAGACTGACTGAGACACATCTGTTGAGGGGACTGCTTGTTAATATAAAGAAACAAATGATCTCACGGACTCTCCTCATGTTTCTATATTAATCTATGAACAATGGCTGGTTGTTATGGTGATATGTTTATTGTTGGTTTGTAATTTTTCATGATCATTCATTTATTTTGGGATCCTCAAATGCTATGCTGCCACTTTTATGACTTTTATTTGTTTTTCTTGTACAATATCCTAGCAAAAACTGCCTCATCACAAACATTTCAAGAGATATAATTTCTCAGTGACCTTAAGATTTCTCATCATAAAAATTTTTATCAATGAAATATTTTTTCCAGTAGACAGAAGTGATAAATGGCCTGCAACATTCTCTCTCCCTCTCCTCTCTCTCTCTCTCTCTCTCTCTCTCTCTCTTTCTCTCTCTCTCTTACTCTTTTCCTTTTTTTCTCTCTCTCTCCCTCCTTATCACTTTTTTTTATAACACACAACCAATATGATCCCAGGTTTGCAGGTTTGTAATCTGTAAGTTGCAATCCAACTTTCTATTCGGGGTCGTTTGGCAGCTTTCCCGTTCGTCATTTCATGTCGCTTCCTGTCTGCCCGCTGTGAAATCCTAAACGAATTAACCACACACCATTTAAGACAACATTTTATATTCACGCAATTTCTAGCTTAGGATGACTCAGATCTTTCTTCACATCACACACACACACACACACACACACACACACACACACACACACACACATATATATATATATATATATATATATATATTTGAGAAACAGAAATTTTTGATGTCAGTGGCTAGTTTAATAATTTCATTTAATATCCACCTTAGAAATTTGAGCCAATTTTAGAAGCCTTTAGAAATGTTTTTTTTTCATTTACATAAACATCATCACTTGCAAAATATTTTTCACTTATGTTTTGCAAACATTTTTGTTTACCTACCTAGCTCTGTTGCATTCCCATGCTCATTATGGTGTCAAATTATTTTTTGGGTTTGGTTTGAATTTGCGCTTGCAACGTTTTTAAATGGGTGCATTAATAGAACGTAAGTCGTCGTTGAGTTGAAGCATGCATCGATGTTCGTGATGTTGCGTAGGTGCAATTTTCAAGATGCCTGGTGTTCTATTTTGTGTTGTTTGGCTTCTTTTTTTTCTTTATTCTCTCCTATGGTAGTATAAAAACTGAGGGTGAACTAATTGTTAATGTTTTAAAAACAAATCTGGCACTGTCACATGAATTTAAATTAACTGTTGCTTTTTAAAAACGAAAACGCAATATGTACAATTTCAGAACTAAATTTGATGATATGTACCACTTCAGTCTGCTGTGTATATGTTTGATAGGGCTTGGTAAAGTTATTAATACCGTCTGGGAAAAATATTATACATGTAAGTCAATTTGTTCTCATCAGACTTTATCATTTCATTGGAGGCAAATGCTTGTTATACAAATGACTGTTCTAAAATTTGTAACGCTGGAGCAAAAAATGTGCCAGAAAGTTTTCGTAGTCTCTTTTATAAGTCTTTCTTATGGTTTCATTGCTGTTAATTAATCTTTCATCTTGCATATGTGTTCATTGCCCTGTTCCTTTAATAACCAGCCATTCATTGATTGTTGACTAGTGAACAAGTTCTAGAATTGTTTTTGAACAAATTTCCAATTAATTCTACTACTGCTATGATGTTTAGCATTTTTATTTTATAATATTTCTTCTTTCAAATGGAATTTATGAAAACTGATATTACTTCTAATGTTAATGTCCATAGGGCTCTCATGGCAACTTGAGGTCTCATAGTTTCAATGCTCAACATTCACACCTCCACTCTAACGCTCTCCCTACTTATCATAACCTACTGTCACAAATATTCATTCCTATCTTATAGCAATAAAATATTGTTTGTGGATGTTGCAACCAGCAGATAAATATTAACTGGAGTAATGTGGAAAACGTGCTGATGTTATGCTGAGCGGGTCCTGAAAGATTCAAGTATGTATGTGCAGTCGGAGATAAACAATGCTGAAATATTTTCAAACTACATTTCGGTCTGACTGTTAAGTTGCATGAAGCTTTGTACTTGATTGATGACTCTCATTACCATGAAAAATATATTTTTGCTCCGCCAGTTTCTCTTGAGTTATTGATTGCCCGGCTATCTTATTGGTTGTTGGCTTTTTTTCTTATCTGCCTTTTAAAATCAATCCTCTTCTCAATTATTAGATGTTCGTTGATTTGTTGCATCAGTCCTGTTTGAAGGACTCAAGATGTTTGCATTTATTTAAAATCTTCTATCTTCTTGATCGGCTACTTGCTGTATAATATATGTTTATCATCGGAGTTCTAATTATAAATTTGAATGTTTGTATGTATATTTGCGTGTATCATTTTTATTTATGAGTGCAAGAGAGAAAATGATCAAGCATATTTTTATTTGATAAATAAATGAATGAATGATTTATTGGTATCCAGATTAGTTGTATGATTGATTGATGTTTTAAATTAGTTTATCATTGCTTCTCATTTAGATCTGCTACCAATATTTTTATTTTTTAACATAAAATTTTTATATATTTTTTTCATTGTTATGATAGTTATGCATTTAACAACAGATTTGAAATTCTCTACTCTATGCAGTTTTATGAAAATTGTGAGTGAATGATGAATATGTTGTTTGCTAAAACAATCCAGGGTCCACACCAGTCTAACCAGCCTTTCAAATTCACAGTGGTCGAGTCATGTGACAGGATCAAGGAAGAATTCAGCTTTCTACAGGCTCAGTATCATAGGTTATTTTTAATTTCTTCCCTTTCTATTTAGTTACTACTTACCGTGACAATGTTTTTCATCACTCATTCGTAATTTCTCTATTTTCCCATGTCATGTGTTTGTAGTAAGCGAAAATGCTCCAGTATATTTAAAGCGTTCTTCACACATAGCAGCTGGATTATCTATTCAATCTTTCATTCAGAGACACTGGTCGGTCGTTGTCTGGTTGATATTTATGGGCATTTTTGGATTTTACCTCATTGTTTTTCCAACTTTAAGATACAATAATATATGATTAGTTTAACTGTTATTCTGTTGTATTCGTCTGGAGGTTATTTGGTTGGCTCTATTTCACTGCAAGCATTTAAATGTTCCATCTCCACTTACAGTCACCAGCTAGCATTCAGTGCGAACCGTTCACACATCATATACTCGTGTTTCTAAAAAATCTGAAAATTAATAAATGTATGATTTTAGTTGAAGCTTTTACAGGGTATGGGCTGTTAAAGTTTTACTTTAGCACAACACTTCTAGCTTGCAGCAACAACTACATCCATATTTCATAGACAACTAAATTAACACTCAAGTTTAAAACGTTAAGCTTGAGTTGTTCAAATAATTTCCAAGAGATGTAGTTTCTAACATCTTGCTAAAAGAGTGAACTTTAAATCATTTGTTATAATTTTTAAGTTAGCCTGCATCATCATATCTTCTAAATGTTTTTCTTTATTAAATGTCATTTGAAGATTTATGATTTTTCATTATTTTTTAAAATCTTAAAACTGGCATGATGGATGGATGCAATCACTTGATAATCACATTCAAAACATTTCCTCACAGTTTTCAAAAATCTTACAAATCCATTTTTTTTCGCAACTTGAATACATTTCAACAACTTTCAGTTGGCTCACTTGTTTTTATCACAATTTTTTCTAAACTCTTTGTAAATTCTGTTCCAGCCGAAAAGCCTTCAGCACAATTTTTGCATTATTGTCACAGAAAGAAAAAGGTTGTAATTAGAAACATAGGCACGCATGGCTGATTCAATTCAAATATTAAATTCCTCCTACAACAATCCTTCCCATCTCATTGTGATATATTCTTTAAAAATGTGTGCGCCTACTGTGTGTGTGTGTGTGTGTGTGTGTGTGTGTGTGTGTGTGTGTGTGTGTGTGTGTGTGTGTGTGTAGAACACAAAAAGAACATTATATATAAAATTTTGCCCGGGTGAAATGGAATAAATGAGTTTACAAAGATGCATGATTAATGGCTGTATTTGTATCAAGCTAGACTCCAATCTGAGTGTTGATGAGATATTGTTGATGATGATAACGATCATGATCATAACCCTGATGATGATGACGATGGTGAGGATGGTAATGTTTTGCTGGTATTCATTTTTCATTTGTAGGTCTGCCAATGTTTAAGATGCGTGCATGGCTCCCTGATGACATTGACATAAAATTTTTTTTCATTAAACATTTACAAGCTTGAAGATGGAATGCGAGAAGTTGGCGCAGGAGAAAACAGAAATGCAGAGGCATTACGTCATGGTTAGTCTTGGTGATGTTGTTGTCGTTGTTGTCGCTGATGATGATGAAGGATGACGATGACGATGATGGTGGTGGCTTATGATATTAAACGTTCATAATTGTGAATGATTGATGTTATTTTCATTTGTACTATAGTCGTTTAATAATCAGTTGTTTGCTTCGGAAATAAATTGAAAACATATAAACAAACATAGGCTCGTGTGGTGTACAACGAGTGACAAAGAATGAACAGGGCGTTTAAAATGGCTTAGACAAGCAAATGGTGTTTTAAATGGAGTTGTCCCACAGATGGGGCGGTGTGCTGAGTAATTCTCAAATGAGCGGATTAACGATGATCATGGTGTAAGTGGATAGTCTGATATGCAGTTTAAATTAGGATATAAACGGTATTGAAACTTAAAAGGAATTAGTTGACTTGTTCCTTGAGGGAATGGGGATGACCATTATGGTGAGAGGCAATTATAACGCCATATTTCAAGTAAAGATGGTGATGAAGTGTCGTCACACTTTAAATGAAGGTGACTACGGTGATGATAGATAGTTGGGGCATCGTATGAGCTTCTTATTGCAGTCATCGAACAAAACAACGGAAGTATATGTGATCTAACTTGAAGTTTCAATTATTCTCATACAAATATATTTGTGTATGAACCGATATCCTTTTGATGTGCTACAAAATTTGTTGTGACATTTTTTTTCTTGCAGAGTATTAGCTCTTGAAATTTTACCAACTGCAGCTTAATCGCTCATGTTTTAAAAGAATTTTTCTCAAAGTAAAAATTATCATAATATTAAAAAACCTATATAACAAAACCAAATGCTTAAATAAACTGAGGAAAAAAAGGAAAATACATAGATGGAAAAATACTTGTATGTTCGTGCAAACATTGGCAGCCAGCAAGCGCTGGTGCAATTGCATGCAGCAGACAGAATGATGAATGCTTGAATAAATGCAATGCGAAAGCAGATCTTTGTAGAATAGTTGTTCTCCTGATAAAACAAGTGTTATGCTGACTGACGTTTGACATGATTTTCCATGTTGTTGATGTTGTCTTTTATTGTTTTGGTGATGAAATGTGTGTTGTTGTTCGTATACCTTTGCATCATTAGAGTTGGTGTGGTTTTTTATTTAGGTTCTTAGTTCGCATTGAAAATTAGAGATTCGGTTTAATAACCATTTTTATAACGCAGTTAATAAAAACCATGTTGGAACAATATTTTTTATGGTATGTCATCGCCACGTAATCATCTTATCACATTGCTTCATCTTATCCTACAAGCCAGTTGTAATGATCGAATGTTAAATATTTTTCTGCTACAAAAACACATTGAATGGAACTAACGGTAAATATATAATCTGCAAGCAAAACGCTGCTGAATTGTAGGTGCATATGTATGGAAAGTGGGAGAGTTGGCAGATTGAAGCATATCAATATTAGTGAGCTTTGAAGGCATGAGGCCTTGTCTAAGACATAAATTGTCATTAGCTCCAGGGAAATGTTCTTTAAAGAACTATCTTTCAAACTGCAGTCTGTGTTATATTGGGCATGATGACGATGGTGGTGATTATGAAAATGATGATGATGATGTTGATGAGGATAATCGTTATAAAGAAGATGATGAGGATTGTATGATGAAGATGGTAGTGATGATGTCGATGATAACACATGAACAGATCATGAAGTGGATTTGTATAGACTATTCAATCTTTCTTTTAATACCTGTTTTTTGCAATGATAAATTGCAGTTTTACATTCATAATTAGATTTGCTTTTTTCCGTTTTTTAGTCTTCGATTAATTGTATCCTTCTTTGGTTGGTTTGCCTTGGTAATTCAGCAATTATTATTTTCAGTGCAGATTCTTGGCAATTTTATTAAAATTATCTTTTGAAAAGTTGATAAATAGAGTGTTTCAACAGGCTCAACTGATAAGTGAACGGTCTTGATCAGAGGGTCAGTTATGGCATGTTTGTTACTCTGTTTCAAAACATGGCGTAATTTAGAGTTTTTTGAACTTCAACTTTAACACTAAACGTGCATGATGCTCATTGTAAGGTCGAACGATTTCCGTGGTACCCTTGGTGGTGGTCCTTCTTAACAAGACTTGTACATTAACTGGCGGTTTTGCTTGCAAGAGCAGCGTGTATAAAGAACAAGGAGTATATTTATGATTTATGTATGCCAAATGTGCCAGCAACAGCATGAAACATAAGAAATATAAACATAAGAAATATAAACATAAGAAAGCAAACATTGGTACCATTCAGTGTCATCTACTTTGGAGGTAATAAATTCTTTTTAAACATGAACGATCTTAAATTATAATTTATCGTTATTTTTAATGAACTACTAAAGAGCTGTATTGAATGACAATACGGAGCCAACAACAATTATTTGAAAGTCTTTCAATAGCTCAGCATTGCAATATAACGATGTGTGATCTGACTACTGTGTGCTTGAGTATATCTGCTGAACGAATAGTACAATGATTGCATTTACGTCAATTGTTCGTCGAACCATTCTTTAGCATCCAGTATTGTTGTTGTCGTCGTCGTCGTCGTTGTTGTTATCTGAGTCGTTGTTGTTGTTATCTGTGTAGTTTGTTTTTTTCATTTGTTGTCATTGAAAGATATTCTCTGTTAAATTTTATTGATTTTTCATTGAATTGCATTTTCAAACCAACATGTTAATTAATTAATGAATAATTGAATGAACGAATGAATAAATAAATGGATGAATCATTGCACGAGTAAAGGTATAGGCAGACTTATCATCGAGAGTATAAACAAATGTTTAAGCCAAGTCTAAGCGAGCATATAAACAAACAAACACATAAATTGCCGCAGTGATCATGCAATACATCCTCTCCACTGTTATCTGCATGTATTCATACGAATGTACCTAAAAAACTAAGCAGCAGCAAAAAATATGAAGAGTGAGCGTGGCCTAGCTTGAAAGGATTGCGTGCATGCACACACGTTAGTAGCATTTGCTGAGATGACGTGCATCCGGATAGCCGGTTCTCAGTGCTCGTTCTTACACTCAGTACGTGATCTACTCATGACGCATTAACTCCAAATACTTTACTTTATTTCTCATGAAAATGAATTTTTAGACCCGGTGGAAGGAATATTTAGTGCGAATGGTTTGATCAAGTTATTCATAGAAATAAGTGTATACACGCACATACGTGCAGGTATGTGCGTGTTTCTCTTTTTTAATCATTTCATTTGTTGCCTGCCCTCAACTGAAACTAAATTTATTCAAATATGATTTGTTGGGCAAACAGAAAGAATCAGGTTGCTGGCAGGACACTACTATACATAAAAATATTAGTCTTTTTACAATCAAGATGTTGATTTCGTTGCGATAGGTGCTTAAATTTTGTTTGATTATTGCAGGCTTTTACCAAAAACGTATGTTAAAATTGTTCAATTTTAAGTATTTCATCAAACACATTGGTAACTTACTGTTATATACATGAAGATTTTAAACGAAAGATTAATTGTTTGAATACTCTAATAATAAATCGTTAGGTAGATTAGAGGGATAGAAATAAATTACCTGCCATTCAAATTATTAGAATGTTTGTTTGATCGCAACAATCACGCCATCACAAAAGGTGCACGGTTACACACAACGATAATCGTGGAACGAACTGCAGACAGTTACACAACAACACGCGTCGTTTTATTGCCTGCGAGGTAGTAGCGAGCCTTTTACAAAGCAATCATTTGATTGGCTGTAAGGCTGCTGCATATTTATTCCTTTATTATGCGCTGGCCTGCCTGCTTGCCTGCCTGCGTTTTTGTGCACCTCTTGTTTCGCATTATGTTTCGAAGTGTTCTCAGGCTTAACGTTTTTTAACGTTCTTGTTTTTATTGTGTTAATAATCCACACTTTTCTTGAGTGTTGTTTCCTTTGTACGTCATTCGATGTTTATGCTGATGAGTTGTTCGTTATGGTGAAACCAACGAGTTTGTTATGGTTAAATTAGCCTCTAAGTCAAAGTGGCATGTATTACTAGTCTTGTATAAACTCTGCATTGTAAAATAAATAATTATTTCACAGTGACTATGAATTGTTTATTACTAACATCAGCAAATATACATATGGCGAAATGGATGAAGAGATAAATAAATGTAAGACATCAAATGGACGTCTGACAGGGACAAACACGCCCCGCATTTACAAGCGTCAGCAACAGCAGCAGCAGCACATGTTTAATCACATGAGAAGTGGTCGGTCATTAATTTTCATTGGATATTCTCGTCCTCCCTTGCTTAGCATTGTGCCGAATTCATCCGCTTATTCATCCGTTCATCCTTTCGTTTTTCCATTTCTTCCCTCCATTTTTCTGTTCTTCCACGCATTAATTATGCTCATTCATCTATCCTGCCATCCTTGGGTGACCATTGTTAATAACGTGTTGTCGTTATTTTCAGTGGATGGGGTCTGATGCTTGCTTGCTTGATTACTACGGATAATTAACTAATCCTCCGACCAGGCCTTTCATTTAGGCTGCATGTGGTTGTGTATAACTTTTGAAAAAAATAGTTAGATAGTTTTTGGACAAACATGTTAAACATTCATTTGCATTATTATAAATCAGTTGATAACCAATTTGAGAGCGGACTGGCATCCAGCTTACCATTACATTAAAACTTCCTCGTTCCTAATCTAACATAATTCTCCTTTAACGACCACGATCATCTCATTATTTTCATCGTCTGCTCAATAATCACCCACGTGATCGTATACATTATTGTTGTGCTTAAATGAATTTCCATCCAGTTGTTTAGAGTTCTCCTTCTTTCAACCGATCATGCGAGTTAATGGGTTTTTGTATTTTTCGGCATGGATTTGTTTATAGCATTTACGCTTGCATGCATCACTGTCTGGACACCATTTTGTTTATGCGTCTTTTGTGTCTTGCACAAATGGCCTGCCTGTTATGTACATTTTATAGTTTCCTTATTATGTCATAAGTTGCTTTGTAATTGGGGCTATTCAATAAAATGGCTTATTTGGCTGTTAAGTATTACGTCGTGTCGCCGCTCTAATTTTTAATTTAACCGTCATTTCCAGAATATTTTGTTTTCATATTTGATGTTGCTAAATTATTTTTTGTTCATGGCCTCACATTTCAAATATTTTTTATTTTCCTCTTCAGAAGTATATATCCTGTGTGTTTGGGACATTTAAAACGTGCTTCAACGAGTTTTAAGATTCTTTCAAGTTTTTAATTTAAAATAACATTGACCCCAATAAAGTTGAAAATGATTGCTCATAAAAACGTTTCAAGAACATGTTGCATATTCTGCCAGCCAGCCAGCCAGCCGCCTCCTGACATTCATTTCAACATCAGTGATCAATCAGGATGCTTGAATGAATTTATTTAAGGCGTGACTTGCTATAAAAGGACTTCGTGCATGGGACGGTCGGCTTGATTGAACATCTGTTCATTACTTGTTTGCGGCGTACGGCGCTTGAAAGTGGGATTCACTAACTAATGTATGCAATCAGGCTGCCTGCACACCGCCGAAGTGATAATTGCCGACAGGTTTAAAAATGCACGTAGCGAGATTGTTTTCAACGAGACTCCTACAAGTCCTGTCGCTTTTATTGTATTTATGTTTTTATAATTTTTTTCAAAGTTTTTTCAAAGAGGAACATTTAATCATTAAAGCTGCAAAATTTTTTTATCAGATTATTTTTAATCTGCTCACTTCATTTGTTATAAAATGAATTTCCCACAAATGGATCTTGAAGTTTTCAGCTTAGGTTCTATCTCAGATTATTTGTCACTGAATGATTTCTACTCACTTTAAATTTTTTTGTTATCTGACAATTGTTGATTATTTTGAATAACCTTCATTTAAAACTTCATTCAACAGTACTACGAGATGTCCTACGGTTTGAATGTGGAGATGCATAAACAAGTAAGATTTCTTTTCTTTATATTTCATACTAATAATATTTTGTTGTTTTTATTTTGATTCTATTTCACATTATTTTGTATGTTTCCTGTCACTTTTTTTACTGTCAAGTAAGCCATTTCAGTTATACCCACTTTCAAGATGCTTTTAGTTCAGTTTCAACATTGTATCTTATTTTTTTATCATTTTATTTCAGTTGCAACTTTGCTTACATTTCTCTTTGTGTTAACTTAATACAGCAGTCTTCATTTATTTGTTACCCCGAACTCCTTGTTAACATAATATATTATCGTACCACACCCTATTTCATAGTACCACATCATATCCTGTCTTGTTTTTCAAAATTTTGTTCAATTGTTAACGTTACAAATGGCCAACTTGTTGTCAAACATTTTTTAATATTTTTATCAGACAGAAATAGCCAAAAGATTGAACACCATTTGTGCACAAATTATTCCTTTCCTGTCGAACGAGGTGTTTATTTGTTTATTTTTCCGTTACGTTTTCATTATATTTTTTTATTAATTTATTCATTACGTCATCATACCACACTATAACATATCACATCACCAACACATCACCAACACGTCACTACCACATCATGCTTCAGCATATCAGATCATATCCAACCATATCCCATCGATCGAGATCAACGTTTCACCACATTCCTAACTAACCTTAACAAAATGAGACCACACCACACCATACATCACACACAACAGCATACCACACCACACATCACATCACACAACAGCACCAGCAGCAGGTGATAGCAGCTGTTAAGAGAGCAGAACAAGTGACGTTGCAGGAATTAAATGCCATCATTGGGGTAAGTTCGACTTGTTTCGTTCGTTTGGTCGTTGAGGTGTGTTCGGCAGTTCATCTTGTCATGTGGGTGGATGCTGGGGAGTGACCTGTTTGTGTTTATATCATTGCCAATTCATTTTGTTTGCCGTGTTTTTTTTCTGCAATCCACCCTCTTCCACTTCTCTTCTTTTTCTAGTTCTTTGATTAATATTTAATATTTTTCAATGTTTATTCAGTACAGACATTTCAAATGATCGTACAGCGACGACTTTCGTGTCTTTGAAACGTGCTTCATACGTATTTTGTTTTTATTTCTATTTCATTTTTATCAAATATCAGCATGTTACTATCGTTTATGCCTGAAGCATGGCGAGTTACTAACTTGCTATTATATATGCTAATAAAAATATAAACAAAGAAAAGGTAGACTTGTATGCATAGGTAGACACACAGACGTGCTAATACTTTGATGCAAACATTGCCATTCAAACGCCTTCACGTTAATGCCAATGTAGTTGTTGGTAATGTAAAAACGTTAAATGAGATTAGACATTTTGTGCCCGAGGCATTGATATGTTTTCTTATTGCTTTAATATCTACAACTTTGTTTCTTCATTTTTCGGCCCGTGTTTCTTTCTACATCAATTTGTCTTCTTAAGTTTGTTTATTGTACCACTCTTAAATCTTAACATTTAGTTGATATTTTTTAATTTTTGCTATGTATTTTGCAGAACAAATATATGTAAGTCATGTTATTTTTTAAATTCTTCTATTGGATTGGTTTTTTTTTCTTGCTTCTACCTCTTCATTCAACATTTAAGCTCCAGGCTATTCATTGTTCAATCTCTCGCTTGCAAAATGTTGAGTTCATTTCAAATGAAAAACTTTTTCAACTCTGTTTTTTCTCAGTTTGATTAAGTTTTATCTTCAGAAATTTCGCTAATGAAATTTGTACTTCTAAAAATTTTCTGATAGTGCAGATGTTTTTAGCACAAACATTCATCTAGTACTTCTTTCAAATGCTGTGTGTTGGTTGTAATGGGGTTTTTTAATTTTGAGATGCGATAACACATTTACAAACATTTATTTATTTGGATTTCTAAAATTATCTTAATTTAAATTTGCTTAGTTTTTGAGATTTTTGTTGACAACTTGTGAATGTTCGTAATTATTCGAAATAATTATAAACTAAATATAAAAGTAATGAATATTTACACCAAGTTTTGCACCATTACATTTATAATTACATATGATTAGGTGTGTACATAAATTTTATTGCAGCGCTTTGACAAAGGGATCATTTTGTCATCAATTTGCTATATTATTTCTTCCAGCTGGACATCTTAAATGTTTGAATCTCCTTCAAAACTTAATTCAAACTCTGTGGATTATTAATAGTAAAATATAGAAATAGACTCAATTTTCACGTGATAAACTTGAATAAATGTATTTTTAATGTCACTACACACGCATGACTGCTTCGTTTGTAAATACTTTCACTCACACGAATCTCTGTCACAACAATTCATTTTCGCAATGCTCATCTGTTGTGTACAAGAAAGTGAAACTTACAAACACATTTACTTATCAGAATTATACATCATCGTACCGCACTACCACCCAGCATAAATCACAGTGAGAATTTGATTTTTAAAGTTTCATTTCAGATAGTGTTATTTTGGATAGGTTTATTATAAGCCGCAATCGGGAATGTTATTTAAATAAATTTATTATCATATATAATAGAATATAAATTAACAGTTTAGTTGTGATTGAATTTAACAATATTTGGCTTTGCACACACACGCACACACACACACCCCACACACAAACATATATATATATACATACAATATATATATATATATATATATATATATATATATATATATATATATATATATATATATAGTATAGTTTGTGTGCGTGTTCAGTTCACGGAATACGTTTATTTCATTTTAATTAATTTTTAAAATTCATTCTTTTGTATTTGCTCTTTCGATCTTTCATCTTTCGATTATCAATAAACACATGAACTTTATTATTTCTGTTCAAACATTGAGTTTATACAAACATGCGGTCTTGAAGTACATGATATCAATCTTGTTTTTATGCATGCTGCGTTATTTCTTATTCATTCAACCTCTGGTGCATTGTGTGATTTTGTTTGCTTTAAAAAGGTGAAATCCATGTTTACCATTGAGACTCATTTTTTATGAAGCATGTGTTAATTCCTTTGAGTGCTTCTTCAAATATTAATTTAATATATTTCGATCTGTTTGTCCATTATTATTGTTTTCTTAAAGGATGGATGGATCAGCCATCGATGAACATTGAATAACTAACTGATGGTTCTTCATTATTAATTTAACGCTTCCATAGAACCTAACTGCTTTTTCTATTTTGTACATCAAAAATTTTTTCACTATAGATAATGACGATGAAAAAAATGGTAAATGTGTAGATGTTCATGTTTTAGCAAATCATTTGTTTTTCATGTTTTCATAACAGAAATGCTTTCCTCCACACTTTTTTGCCAAATAAATATTGGAAGCTGTATGCACTTATATATGCACATAAATAAATAGATTCATGCATTCAGAATGTAAACACGAAGATTCTTGCCACAATATCCAAAACAAACAAATGCCCAAGTATATTTGCATGTCTGCATGTATGCGTGTTTGTATATGATTGTGAGTGTTTACGTACGTTTGTGTGTGTATGCATACAGAAATGCCGGTTTGCTGACATAACACTTGCTTCCGTCACATTTGTCTGTCCCTGCTCATAAATGCAGAGCATCCAATCTTCAGTTTTTATTTGTGTAGTTTTTTAAAATCCTATGTATCCCAATTTTTTTTTGGAAAATCAAGATATCATATCAAACTCAGAATTTTGAAATTGTATACCTAAAATTTGGATTGTGTTTCATGGTTTATATACAGATGGAAAGATGAAAAGTTTTACTTAAATAAGACGTTTTTTTAAAATGTCTTCAAATTCTGCCAACCATGCAGATTGTGTTGATAAAATTCAGCAGAAAATCAGTTATTCATTGACATCCGTTATGGATTGTATGAACTATCCAATTATTCTAGGACAAATGATTGAAAATTTAAATTAATGGCAGATAATCATATATATATATATATAGTTTTTTGTTACATTTCTTGATATTTCTAACCAAATTCTTAGCGTCATTGTTTATTCCTATATAAGTGCTGATGATGAGTATAATCGAAATAGGACCTATATGCTTCATCTTGAACACCAATGATTTTCTTTTACTAATTTTTATAAATTGGATATTAATTATAAATTTATTGTTAGAAAAGCTAAACCGTAAACCGCAAACTTTCAAAAGCTAAAATTTTGGTAGAAAATTGATCAAATATTGCCTCAATTAAATATATATATATGTGGTTATATATATTAATTATGGTCTCCTTCCAGCCCACATATATAGATTTGATTTGCTAGATTTATTGATATATGCCCCTCAGTCGCTTGCCATGGCGCTATATAAAATGACATTATTATTATTATTATTATTTTAATGCGAATATGTTTACTAATTTATTTTGTTTGATGATAATGAAAGCAAGCGGCACATGTTTTCTTTCATGATTAAAAATATTTTCACGGTGGACTGGCAACGCAATCTGACAACACATGTGTTTGTGTAAAGACAGACAGGTTAAGCACACATTTGCTTTCCAGCAAATTGTCTTCGTGCAAACAACTTGCTAGTCAGAACAAACAATCTTATACTCGAGCCTTGCCAATTGCATTTCTTTACTTTTTTTTATCTTTTTAGCAGACTTTTCTTCCACTTATATTTTTATCTCCAATTTGTTCTATTTTTATTTCTGCACTGTGCTTTCATGCATGACAAAATCTTTTGAAAATTAATCTCTTTGTTATCTTTTTATTTTCAAGAACATTTATCAAGGATGCATTCAACGTTATATGTTTGTATGATACTCTTCTGTATGATATCTATGATACATTGTGCGTTACATAAGATACATTGTATGGAAAGATGCATTGTATCAAATATGGTTTCTATTTATATGATAATTTATTATAATTTGAAATTATCTGAATTTATTCTTCCAGTTCTTAGGTTGTACCCAAATATTTCAAGTTTAAGTTGTTTAAAATATTGTTTCACAAAAATTTTTGTAACGGAACGAAGAATAGAATAAATTATCTCATTAATTTTTTAGTTTTTTAAATGTAGGACCTTGAGCAGCCAACACTTACCCAGTCATTAAGTGCAAAACATTTTTAAAAAACATCAATAAAAGTTAAGATCAGATTTTTTTGAAGCTTCATGTTCAACGTTCATGCATTTTCTGGCTGTCTTTTTTGTTTTGGGATGAATATTATTCTGTATTATTAATGATACGAAGCAAGTTATAATGTGAATCTTGCTTTTTCGTAACATTCTTGGTCAGATTCACTCAGCCTATTGAAGTATTGTGATCAGCTGTAAAAATGTGGCTCTACTGAATGCCTCTCACTTGGTGGCATCTTATTTTTTACTATACGTTTAATTTCTTCTGGGGTTTAATCAGTTCCAAAATTATGTTCCAGTCTAATTTGGTTTCTTTTGTGCTGTGACACTTGATCGTTTGTTTATTAACTTCTCGCAAGAACATTTCTTGGCCTGCTGGCTTTCTTGCCTGATTTTTTTAATTTTTCAAATGATTGATTTACACCACCGGAAAAAATATAAAATTTGAATCACTTTTTTTGTTATTTAACAATTTATATATATATGTATATATATATATATATATATATATATATATATATATATATTAGGGCTGTACCGAATTTGAAATATCAAATTCTGCCGGAGCCGAATTTGAATGTCAAATTCGGTCGAAGCCGGAGCCGAATTCGAACATTAATTAGCAATGACTCGTTCATGGTTCATTTTGACTTAGTCGATCACCTTGTAAAACTTAGCATGTGAAGCAAATATCACATTGAATTATAAACTATTCAAATCTGTTATTTTTCAAGTTTATTGTAGCTGCCAATTTAAAAAACAAACACAAATTAAAAAAAAATTAAGCAGACATTTGAATTAACATGATATTATAAATAAACACAGTGTAGATTTCTTGAGTTATTTATTAAACAGAAAAATTAATAAAAACATAAAAATGCAAATAGCTGAAACCATTATTTTAAAAATAAATTGTTAATCATTTTTAATCAGATTCTTGTTATATTTTAAAAAAATAAGTTTAGAAGCATTTTCTGGAAGAAGTGAACTACGATGATCACTAATCACTTCACCTGCTACACTGAAAAGGCGCTCAGATGGTACACTTGTTGGCGGGGCACTCAAGTATGATTCATTTTCCACCAAAGCAAAGGATTTTCAGTTCTTGGTAATAAAGGTTCCAACAAATATTTGTCAAGTTCACTCTCAATTGTTTCAGCTACTTGTTGTTGTATATTTGCTTCTGAAGATTGCACAATTTCTTCCATACAGTCCCACAGCGCAGAAGTATGATCCTTTTCTAATCTTATTCGTTTAGCTACAGTTTATTTTTTTTTGCATCTGCTTCTATATTAGCTAAAATTTGGTCTTGTTGAACATTGTTTTTTATTTTGCCATTTGCCAGCACGAGACCAAATTTTGCTGCTGAGAAGACATTTGTATTGAAAAATTTGTTTTTGAAACGAGGATCAATCAACGTTGCTACTATGTACAGATGATCATGTTCCAAACTTCCAAATCGTTCATTTAAAAAATTCAACAACGACTCCTTAAGTGCCTTGACTTCTATGTCAGGCCATCTTTTTTTAACAAATTACGCAACACAGCGACAAGAGGTGAAACCAATGATATTCGAGATTCTCCAGAGCTAATCTCACGTGTTACATCTTCAAAAGGACCCAAAACTGATGCAATATTCTCTGCAATGTTCCACTGGTGTACAGTCAAACAAGAAGTACCTTCCACTTCCGAGCAGTACAAGATCAGTGCACGTCTTTGTTCGCACAGACGCTGTAGCATGTAGAATGTCGAGTTCCATCTTGTTCTGACATCCTGTATCAACTGGTGGTTTGGTAAACCAAGTTCATTCTGTGAAAGAAAATGTAAGCAACGAATTCTCTTTTTAAAAAATCAAACAATAATAATTAAAATAAATTATGACAAGAAATTTAAAAAAAATTTAAATTAAAAAAAATAATAAAAAAATATACATATTACAAGTACCTGTATTTCTTTTAAACGACCAGTAGCAGAGGAGGAGTGTTTGAAATGTCCAACAAGTTTTTTTGAAATGTTTAAAATTTCTGAAACTTCTTTTTGGTTGAAAAGACCATCATGAATGCATAGCTGGAGAGTGTGTGCAAAGCAACCAACACTTGAAATATTGGCATCACGGAAACATTTAGATATATTTGCAGCATTGTCACGAAGTACAACATGAATTCGACTGACATCAATTGACCACTTTTCCAATATTTGCTTGAAAGCCGCTAGCAAACCTTTTGCTGTGTGATGTCCATCAAATGGTTTGCAATCTAACACATTGCTTCCATTTTCAAATTCTTCTGTGATCCAATGGACAGTCAAACCCATGTACGATTGCACATTATTATCTGCTGTCCATGTATCAGTAGTGAAGGACAAGTTTTCTGCATTGTCAGTCTCCAGCATTATATTCAACTGGTTACAAACTTCATCATGCATATTTGGTAATATGTTCTCAGCAAAATATTTTCTGCATGGCACTTTATAACGTTTCTCCACAACACTCATTAGGGAAACAAACCCTGTAAACAATTTACAATAATTTTTTCACTTTAAATAAATTGTATAATTTGACATAAAATTTTTTTAAACAAATTAATAATGTAAAATGATGCAGGTGCAGGATAAAGCAATTATTAGTTTACTTTCTTTTTCAACTACGCTGTATAGTTCAAGATGAGTGATAATCATTTTACCAATAGCTCGATGAATCTTGAAAGCAGAGGTGCTATTTATGTCCCAAACTTTTTGTCGTTCAACCTGCTCTATCATAGTAGGCTGTATTGAAGATGAAGAGACTTTTTTTGGGACAAGTGCGGGGACATTCTGTGACACTGTACAAGTTTTGGCTTCTTCCACTTGTTTTTGCATTTCATCATATTCTTTCTGGTGTTTCGTGCGAAGGTGTGTTAGCAACGCTGAAGTGGAAAACTTCTTCACCTCTTTTGATTTTCCGCCACGTGAAATAACACTGGGACACAACAAGCACTGGCATTTGGATGCATCATCAGGCTGTACACTAAAATACTCCCACGCTATACTTGTTTTTCCTTTATCTTTCATGTTATTTACTGATGTCGACAAAATGGCCGTAATTAGAATGGAGGAAGAAAGACGTTTGAGTCCTGTTGAAATATGAAATATAAATAAACCGACGTTTACGTTTTTCAGGTTTTTATAAACAACAGAGATGTTTACTTTTGAAACTTCCTGTAGCGTGAAAACAACTTTCGGGTGCATACTAATTTGCTGTATTTGCTCATAGTTTAAAAAAAATTTTTTTAGTTCATGTTTTCGCTGAATCTTAGGACGAATTTTTTTAGCCTATATGCTACAAAATTCGGAAATCCGGCCAAAATTTGGCCGGAGCCGAAGCCGAATTTGGAAAAATGGCCGAATTTCGGCCGAAGCCGAATTTCGGTACAGCCCTAATATATATATATATATATATAAATTCTACCGAATGTTTGGCGTTAATATGTTTGTAGTTCGTTTTTTCGATTTTTCTCACTANAG